CCTCTGCAATCTTGCCTATGCCGAAATCGTCTACGCATCTTTGTTACAATTCCGTCTGTCCCCGCCACTTTGTTTCTGTTTAATTTTCCCAATTCTAATTCCACGTCAGATTTTAATCTTTCCGGTTCGTCTATATTTCTGTGTATTGCCGGTTGTTCTCTGTCATTGTGGAAGATTTCTCCAATATATTCATTCTATTTCTGAAGTCGTTTTTATTTCTCTAAAATCAACGTTCTCTTCTTGGATTTTATGCATCCTGTTGACGAGAATGTCTTTTGCTCTGTTAGTTCTCTTTTTTTTTTTTTTTTTTTTTTTTTGCACGTACCTGCTTTATCTGTAATACGAATTCTTTCTATTTCCTCACGGATGAAGAGGAAACTTGAAGTGGCAGAAAGGCAGTTCTAGAGGATGCTGAGGATACAATGGCCTGAACATGTGAACAAAAATCTATTTAGTGAGCTTCAATAAATGAAAGGCGGAACAAGGTTTAGGGGAAGTAACTAAAAGATAAAATTTATTAAGCTCTACAAAGGACAGGATATTTTGAAGAGCCATCATCGCCTATGTCCTGAAGAGACAGCTCATTGAAGTGGTTCATAAATATTGTCGATCCTGGAGTCAGATACGACTGCCATTTCATTTTGTGTAGCTATTGTCTGACTGTGACTTTAATAAAAGTACTCATATACATAATCTCGGGCTCATATCTCATAAATCTCAGGCTTTGCTGTGACTTTTCTCTTCTTCTATGTGCCGTATCCCTTCAGGGCGTGGGCGTTCATGACTATCCACAACTTCCTATCGTTTATACCTCTTAGTAATGTTCGCTTTTTTACTTTCTCTCCTACACCTTGTTCAGTCATCTACTTTCATCGGCCCTTCTTGACTTCGATATGTCCTGTGAGTAACAAATTCTCCAAGCCCTCTTTCCTCATTTGTGAATCAAAAGATTTCAACATTTTCGGACTCTAAGTATGTGTCCTTTTTTATTTACACTATTTGATCTATTGTCCTCATCTTTGTTGTGGTTATCACAACGTTTCGGCCGTTGCACTTTCCGGCCTTCATCAAGTGTATATCGGTCCGTGTAACCTACATTATTTAATGTACTGGGTAGAGTGTTTTCGTTCTTGGATATCGTCTAGTTCGTATTTCAAGTATTGCTTAGTTATTGCTCGCCCTGTTTCTATTGAGTCCAAGTAAATGCCGCCAGTCCCAGGGATTGAACTCACAATTACTATGTCCCTAAATCCACGCTTTAATCCACTAGGCTATTGTTCCAGACAGTTTGTACTTGGACTCAGTGGAAACAGGGCGAGCAATAGCTGGAAATGGACCTCTAATATGCGAGGGTGTGCTTAAAAGTTCTCAGTACGACACCCCTGTGTGCTTGAGTCTGTATATCCACTCAAAAAACTTCGAAATTAATTAAGTATATAATATGTAATGCTCCTCCGTGTGTGTGTGTGTGTGTGTGTGTGTGTGTGTGTGTGTGTGTGTGTGTGTGTGTGTGTGTGTGTGTGTGTGTGTGCAGATATTATGTAAAACTGAGACATCAGGTAAATGTCGTTGAAGCATTTAGAACTAGCAGGATGTGTCTTATATCTTATCCAACTTAACGGTTCGTGCTTAATCCAGATAACTAATTAGTGAATTTAACTTTGAAAATCTTTTTCCTTTTTCTTTTTTAATATGTGCGTCTTTTTTTTCTTTTTTTTTTTAATTTTTAAATTCTAGCTTTCCTAATCTTTTTTTTATTGCTTTCATAAATAGATTATTAGAAGAGTCATCTGCTGCTCAGAAAGTGATTTCGTAACGATCTTAGCATTTAGATCACAGTTCCCGAGTAAAGGGAAATAACCAATGTAGACATGTTAGGCCATATTTTTAAATCTAACAAATCTAAATTTTTATTTCTGAATTTTTAAAAAAGTTTTGTTCATAAAATTTTTTTTTTGTTTAATAATAGATTTATTTGAATTTAAAAGGAAAAGAAACCTTCGATCACGAAAAACAAACACTCAAAAATATGATTACTATCGTGTTATCATTTCGCCACTAGGCCTACATACTGTATAAACGACTAATGACAGTTTTAATTTTTATTCGATATTCACTCAATTCAAGGCCCAAGATCCAATCAAGGTAGAGATTTATTGAAGGAAGTCGAGAGATATGACATGAGAAGAGAAAATAAGTGGTGAATATGAGGATATGTAGAATAGATAACCGTTGAATCTAAATTTGCAAAGGTTAAGATTATAGTGATCGAGAAAACATACACTCGGGAATCTATTTCACAAAGTATCGGCTCCCGGGAAGAAGCTGCCCAAGAAAAACTTTTTTCTTGTCAATGGAATACTATAGGAATGAGAAGGATTCGAATACGTGCCATGGCATGTTCTGGCTATAAATGTCTGAAATGGCGAAACTATGGAATATAACCTGCCAGATCATTTGCCAAGAAAATAGGGACAGAATAAGTGTTGTTTAGAGGCGACATTTCGCCAGTGGCAAAGCGCATGCGAGTTTTGAAATTAATAAGCCACTATGGGGCCACATAAACACTTTTGAATTCTGTTAGGGCTGAAAAATAAGAATTGGACGGCTATCGCTCATATATGGCAGCAATAATCTCTTTTATCTCTGATTTGACTCTTGTAAAGATAGAGCACGGCAGGAGGAGTCAAATTCTTTCTGGAGCGTCACGAGGTCGTATGCACGAGTCCCACTAAGGTCTTGGGTGAGCTTAAGTCCTAATAAAGGTTCAATTTTATGACACACGCAAATCACTCAAAGACAAAAACGTCTTCGCAGATCAGCGGTACATAGAAGATGGACTTACCCTTATGAACACTGGGGATCGCTGCTAATTTATTTACATTTATGGCCCTAATAAAAAGTCTATACGAAAAATTATAGATACATTACATTTCAAATGCTAAACTAATAAAAAAAAAAATCTCCGTTTTTTTTTCTTTTTGGTTTCAGTTGTAAAACAATCAGAAATAAAACTCATTGAAATATTGCGAACGTTTCACTGTTCAAAATCGAACACTTATGTCCGATAATTTTCTTTGTTGCTTTCATTCTTTCAAATCGATTTTTCTACAATGTCTATACAGACATATGTTTTAGTACGTGCATATCTGTAAAAAAAAGTCCATGTATGTGTGTGAGTGCGTGTGTTTTTGTGCTTGTAGGTGTGTTTCTCCGTGTGTTTCTCTGTGAGTTTCTCAATGTGTTTCTCTTTGTGTTTCTCACTGTGTACGGGTGCACGCGAGTAGGTGGTTGAATATATTACTTGTAAGTGATTACCTGAATTTATAATAGAACCTTTGTATAAATACATGTATAATACAACGTAATTATACAAAACTGAGACACAAACAAACTTGAATAGATAGATAGATAGATAGATAGATAGATAGATAGATAGATAGATAGATAGATAGTCTGTCCCTATATTATCTATCTATCTGAGATAGATAGATAGATAGATAGATAGATAGATAGATAGATAGATAGATAGATAGATCAAACTGAGACAGATTATAGATAGAGATAAGCAAAATGAGATAGATAGATAGATAGATAGATAGATAGATAGATAGATAGATGCAAAGTAAGAGGCATTATATATAGAGGTAGATATGTTCAATTCTCATCCGATTCAACAACCTCCCCTCTCATTTGAACAGAAGTAGAGGTTTATTCCTTGTTTCCTGTTTAGGATCAGATTTCCGGTTCCTTCTAAAATCTTCTCATTCTCTTTCCCTCTCAGTGTCCCCTTGCGTCTTTGTGGAATTATCGCCTTGCTTGGTGTGAAATAAATAATATATATATATATATATATATATATATATATGTGTGTGTGTCTGTGTGTGTGTGTGTGTGTGTGTGTGTGTGTGTGTGTGTGTGTGTGTGTTGTCATATTGTCAGCTTACAACCACAACCGATGTAACTGAATTTTTTTGACTTCCGCATAAAACATACACATTTAACATATGGACATCTATCAGACATAAATGAAAATACCCACTAGACGCTCAATGCATACACATTATCTATCGAATCCCAACTAGAATTGTTATACACAAATGGATTATACAAACGAATTCTGCTTGACAAGACAGATACAACTGATGTCTGCTTAGCCAATGGAAAACAGACAACATAAAAATGACATTTTTTCCTTCCTCCATATTTCATTATCTGATGAAGCTTACAAGCGAAACATTAAATTTATAAACGTTTCCCACTTGCTTCTTTATCGTATCATATATATATATATATATATATATATATATATATATATATATATATATCTATATATATATATATATATATATATATATATATATATATATATATATATATATATACATATATATATACATATATATATACATATATATATATATATATATACATACACACACACACACACACATATATATATATATATATATATATAGAGAGAGAGAGAGAGAGGATAGATAGATAGATAGATAGATAGATAGATAGATAGATAGATAGATAGATAGATAGATAGATAGATATGACCTGGCGATCTTAATTTGAAAGATATATAGATTGATTATTCGAAAGCTTGATGTATTGATTAAATGCTACGTCAAGCCTCCTAATATTGATTGATTTAAACAGTCGGATAGATAAGATAGGTAGATTATTGTTTAATAGGTCATGAATTGAATTTTTCAAATTCTGTTCCTGTTTTAAATGACATAAACGTACTACGGTTTAATAGAACGTTTCCGGTTTGCAAATACATACATATAAACTTCAGCGTCTGCTCGTGTATGTATTTAGACGCAGAAGCGTGAATTTGTGTATATGCGTGTGTAGTATAAACGCGTGTATAATCATTCATAGAAATGGAGATTGTTGTTAATGGCCTGTAAGTGATGTAAGTGGCGCACACACAGACACAAGAGGAACAAATAAGAACTTTAAGCAGAACCTGCATTTTATCGACGCTAAGGACAGCGAGCTGTTTGTGAAAAATAGTTAAATGGAAGTAGAAAGTGAAAAACTAAAATGCCGAAAGAGAGAAGGAAAAAGAGAGAATGAAAGAGAGAAGGAAAAAGAGAGAATGAAAGAGAAATGAAAAATGAGGGAATACAGAGAAGAGAGACAAAAAAAGAAAACGGAAGAAAATGAAGAGAAAATATAAATTTAGTGTAAAAGAAAGAAAGAAAGAAAGAAAGAAAGAGAAATGAAAAACCAAAGAAAAAAAAAGGAAAAACGAAATTAACAGAAAAGAGAACGCTGTGCAATAGAAAGAAAGAAAGAAAGAAAGAAAGAAAGAAAGAAAGAAAGAAAGAAGAAAAAACGAGAGTGATGAAATAGAAAAGAAAGAAAATGCAATACAAAATAAACTAAATATCTGTTGTGAAAAAGAAGCATATAAAACGGAAGCAACGGCAAAGAAAAACAAATTGAAATATAAAAAAAAGAAAGAAAGAAAGAAGTAAAGTATAAAAAAAAGAAAAAGAGTAAAAACGGAAATGTAATAGAAAGTGAAAATGTAACAGGAGAAAACGAAAAGGACAGGAAAAGAAAAAGAAAACAATACAGGTGGGGGGGGGGAGAAGAGAACTAGAAAAAGAAAGAAAGAAAAAATGAAATGAAAAAACAGAGAAAGAAAGGAAGAAAGAAAGAAAGAAAGAAAAAAAGAAAGAAAGAAATTAAAACGAATAATAAACAAAGAAATTAAATCATTTCATTTATTTATTTATTTTTCTCAGCATTCCGTTTACACTTTCTCTTCATTCATCTCAGAGAACTGAGAAAAAAAGAGATAATTAATAAAAAATGATAATGCATTAAGAGAGAAAGAAAGAAATAACGAAAGAAAGAAAGAAAGAGACTTGACAAAGAAAGAAAGAAAACGAAAAAAAAGAAAGAAACGGAAAAGAACAAATGAAGTGAATATCGAAAAGCAATGCAGAGGAAATGAAAGAAAATTCCAATGGGTAATTGCTTGATGCGGCGTATCACAAAGTCACGTGGAATTAAATGAGAAAAAGGAAGATTATGTTACGCAAGTTTCGCAAATGAAGAAAGTCTATTTAGCTCGAAAATCAACATTTGATTCCGTGGATTAAACCCCGCCTTGGACATATGTTCAGGGTATGATTTTCGCGCCTCTTTCACCGACGAAGCAGGAAGATAAAAGGCGGCGACACACTTCGACTGATATAATTCGAAATTTACTATTCTGAATCTTATATATGTCGCCCTCATAACAAAGCTCTCAAGCACAGACAAGCATTGGATAGTCTGGCAGACCCTCACAAGCGTAGAGCAGCCGCGAGGATCGAACATGCGTCTAAAGGACGAGCTTACTAAACATTACTCCAAGAGAAGACTAGTATAGCGAGATCGAGACAAATTTTTAGCCATTTACAAATGTAGCTTAGGTATGGCACAAGGCCGAAAGCACCCAGTGAGGATCGAACTCACCACTCAATCGTAATGTATATAGCGGGACATGCTTGCTAACCATTGCACCACGTCGAAGTGTTCCTGTTTATAGAAGGAAGTTTTAAGATATATCAGATTATGAAAACAGATAATTGCGTAGGAGTATTTAATAGGGGCAAGAAAGTCTGAGAAGAAAAAATATAATTGTGTCGTTTGTTTGCTACGAGAATTTGGCTTAATCATTTACTGTTGGCTGTGAATCGGCCGGGATGACACAGGTGAAAGTTAGAAAAATTGATTTGTCTGAATATGCCACGGGGTTTGCTAAAAAGTCGACATTTAATAATAAAGAAAAAAAAAAGATTTTCAATAAGGAATGACATCGAATTATCTTCTTTTCAACATAACTCTTTCTCTATGTTTCTCTCTGCTGCTCTCTCTATAAATATGGATGTCTAAATGTGTGTATTATCTATGTAAAACGTACACAAAAACGCAAGATGTAGGCACACATATATCGGCATCTCAATTCATTCATTTATTTATCATTTATCTACTTATCTCAGTTTGTACATACATACATATCTACTTAAATATCCCAGTCGGTTCATATATATATATATATATATATATATATATATATATATATTCCTTTTTGTAACTGTTTTGTCATATATATCATTGACTTCATATCTATCTAGGTATCTGTCTAATAGTAAATATTTCTGCTTCTGTAAAAGGTAAAATACAGAGTTTAGAATATATACTGTATTTCGTTTTTACTACTGTAGACGTTTCGCGAAGATAATTCATTTAAATCTATCTATCTATCTATCTATCTATCTATCTATCTATCTATTTCAGTGTGTTGGTATCCATCATTACACCCAGTTCCTATCTATCTATCTATCTATCTATCTCATTTTGCTTATCTCTACCTATAATCTGTCTCAGTTTGATCTATCTATCTATCTATCTATCTATCTATCTATCTATCTATCTATCTATCTATCTATCTATCTATTTCAGTGTGTTGGTAACCATCATTACACCCAGTTCCTATCTATCTATCTATCTATCTATCTATCTATCTATCTATCTATCTATTTCAGTGTGTTGGTAACCATCATTACACCCAGTTCCTATCTATCTATCTATCTATCTATCTATCTATCTATCTATCTATCTATCTATCTATCGATCGATCGATCGATCTATCTATATATCTATCTCAGTCTTTCACTACCTATCTCTCTCACTCTGTCTCTCGCTCTCTCTATATATATGTGTGTGTGTGTTTATTTAAATCTTTCTATCGAGCTCTCTCTCTCTCTTAGATTGTGCCTATCTATCTATCTATCTATCTATCTATCTATCTATCTATCTATCTATAGATCTATCTATCGATCTAACTATATATCTCAGTCTTTCTTTCATTATCTATCTATCTATCTATTTCAATCTGTGCCTTTCAATCTACCTATATCAGTCTGCGTCGCTTTAGCTATCTATCCGTCTATCTTAGTCTTTCACTATCTATCTATCTATCTATATCTATATATATATATATATATATATATATATAGATAAAGCCACTAAGAAGCGCGGGAGGTGTAAAGGGAGTGGAAGTGAATGCAACGACTTTAGTGAAGAGAAGTTAGGAAAAGGACAATAAAAGAACCAGAATTGATTAATACAGAAAATGGCGATTTACGTAGCATTTCAATTTTTAAAGGTTGTACGTTGAAGCAAAACAAAATAGGAAGGGAGTTCCACAGGAGAGAATTACGAGTAAAGCAACTATTTGAATAGAATTATATGGTTGCATCTAGCACCGTAAAACAGTGAGACCTTGTTGCCAATCTAGTATCGCGCTTAAATTCATGCATTTGTGGCTCTGAGGAGAAAAGCTCATCAGAACAATTGACATTAAAAAATTTGTAGCAAAGACAGATGAAAGAAACGTCAAGTCCAATCACTCACGCCCTGGTTTTAACAAATATATGTTTATTTAGAACTTTGTGTAATAATTCAAAATATTGATTTAAGATGTTTTCATTGTTTGTATTGAATTATAATATTCATCTTCGTGCATCTGTGTATTTATCGCACCTTTTATGTTATAGATACAAACTTCCTTAGCAGTCCTGGGTATGATGATAAACTACGCCCACATCCTGGGTAAAACGATAAACTACGTTCGCGTCCTGAGTATGACGATAAACTACATCCGCGTCCTGCGTATGACGATAAACTACATCCGCGTCCTGCGTATGACGATAAACTACATCTACGTTCTGGGTAAGACGATAAATTACATCCAGCAGCAAAGCCTCTGATCAGGCGGTTTGGAGGGGCGTGGAAGCACCTCTTAATTGCTGGTGTTCCCAGAACCTGACTCGGAGTGGTAGCACCTGTTTAGAGTCCCAACTATGGGCAAATAATTAACCCCCAAACTGAGGTCAAAACACTATGAAAGTCTAAATATAGGTCTTAATACCAGAAATACTTTGTAAAAAGAAATTATTACCAGCAATACATTATTATCAGCAATATATTTTAGGCAAAAAATTTTTTACCATCAATACAGCCAGTCTGCCACAGAAAAATGGCAACCTACTGCAGGAAAAATCTTCTGCCTCTTCGCCCCAAGCGTGTATCACGTCTGGCACTTAACTTACTGATGTC